AAATAATTGCTGCAGGACTTGCAAAATTTTGTAAATTAATTATATTATCAAAATCCCGCATTTTTTTATTTTTCAGTTGCTTAAATACTAATTTTTTTTGTTTACAAACAAAGTTTTGAGACTACCAGTAATGTAGTCGATTGTCATAGCAAATATAACTTTGCTTTATCGGCAATCCCACAAAAACGTGATATGGGAAAAATGTCAGGCCTTCCTTAAAATGCTCATCTTTCCTGTGACCCAAGGGCGCCCATAGCAATGTGACGTAGTGGCTAACGTGTCGAGATTACAAGCTGCGCTGTCAGGGTTCAAGTCACATTGGGGGTGTTGATTAGATCTAGGAGAGGTCGAAACTGTAGTCCGCTTTGCATGCGAACCCCTTTCGAGAAAGCAAAGCTATTCAAAATTTAATAGAAACTTCAACTTTGCTCATATGCTCGTGGGAAAATTCAACTGCCAATCTTTCATCTAAAAAAGCAAAATAAGGTGATTACATCTTATAAATAATAATAAAATGACAAAAATGGAGATATCTTTGCAAGCATTGGCAAAGAAACTTTATGCATTTTTCTTACGCGAGGCCCTGCACGCCCTCGAGGCCCACTCGGTCCCATATCGCCAGGACTTCCCTTCTCTCCTGTTGGTCCAATCGGTCCTGGGTCACCGGCGATACCTACTTTTCCTGCTGGCCCTGAGGGACCCGGTGCACCGCGCGCTCCAGGAAGCCCTCGGCTACCTTCATATCCAGTCACTCCTCCGGCACCTGCTGCTCCACGGGGCCCTCGCCTGCCTTGCTCTCCAACCGGACCCAGAAGGCCAGGATCTCCACGTTGACCCTTTGAGCCTTCAGCTCCGGGCATTCCTTGGCTGCCCTGAAGACCCTGAGATCCCTCGGGTCCCTTGCTTCCAGGCGAGCCGGGATCACCCTCTGGTCCCTGAGGACCTCGAGTTCCAGGAATTCCTGAGGCACCTGGTCGGCCTCGATCACCAATATCCCCCTAAAACGAAGAATGATAGAGGAATTCAAGATAATCTTGAGCTTTTATGGGCTGAATCGATATGAAGAAAAGTCGGACACAATTATAAATATATGCTATGAAAATAAAAATGAAAATAAACATTAGTATACATTGGACTACCCTTAGTCCGGAGTCCATTGTATGCATAATAATTTCTAGTGCCAGACCTTGGACTTGGTACATTCCCACGCCAACGAAGCTGGCGAAACGTCTGCAAATGTACCACGTCCACGGTCCGACTCTGTAAATTATCATCCATACAATGAACTCCGGACTAGGTGCGTTCCTCTAAATCTTCTTCCTAATATGACCAAGTTGTGTATAAAGGTCAAACTACTGCTATCCAACGAAAGGAGACTGAGACTACACAAATGCCACACCATTTTGATCTATATCCCTTGAATTTTATGCATTATTATCGGACTGATGGTGATCCTAAGCTAAATTAATAGAGTCTATGTGTTGCAATCTGTCCTTTGAACTTATATAGAACTAACATTTATCTACAGAATTCATCTTCATAATAGCTGTCTCAAAATATTTGAAGACATTTTATAACCAAGGAGAGGGGTATCTTTTTGAAAATTCTATTTAAACGCTTATATGAGTTTTAGGCTCAGAAGTGCAATTGTTGGAAGCAGTTAAAACAAAATAATTTATATTCCTAAGAATATAGGCAAAATTCTTATAATTTACAACCTAAGTTTCTTTATATGATTTTGATTTGATTTGAATTAGGAAGCTTATCTATGCCCTTATTAGAAGAAGCAGGTTATGAAGCGAATTAGCTTGAACTTATCATTGCCCTTGACATTAATTACTACGTAAGGTGCAAGCACCCATTCTTCATAATTTAATTCATCACTCAAACCATAGTTTTAATAGGTATATTAGCATTCGAATGGGTATAAAAGCTTTGCATTATAAAAGGCATGTTTATTAGTAAATTTTTCAGTTCAAA